AAAAAGGGAAGTTCATTTCACTCACTTTCACTAGCATTTTAATTACTTGCATATTAGGTAATTAGTTTAGATAATTAGCTAGATAACTAAATTCCTACAAACTTTGGTTGATTTATTTCACTAGATAACTTTCAATTAGACTTAAAACCATTCCTTGGGAGATGACCTAGGGTTGGCCCTATATTGCATTAGGGTTAGCTTTAGTGTAATTTTGAGGATAAGGACTAATTTCCTATCAAAATTTTGGCGCCGTTGCCGGGGAATGGTTTAAGTTTAATTCTAAGGTTGTTTAGTACTTAATTTACATTTTTAGTGTTCCTGAAAAATCTTTTGAAAATTATAAAAATTTATTTTTGTGTGTCGTTTTTAGTGTTTTTTGTGTGTTTTGAGTGTTTTTATTCTGTTTTGAAAAAAGAAAAAAAATTTAGTGCAATTTTCGTTGGTTTGGTGTAGAGCTGAAAATACTCTGTTTCTAGTGTCTCTGTCTGAAATTGAAAAATTAACTGGGAATGAGTCTGAGGGAATTTGAACGTGAAATTTATTTCATTGAAAGCTCTATATCCTAGCTTCACTTTAAAATTGGTTTGGTCAATTTTGGACGTGGGAAGTGTCCTGTGGAAATTTACAATCTAACAAGGTCCAGGGAGCCATTACAGAGGATTCCCAAAACCCTGTTTCAACTTTGAGTTAGCATATCTTCCTCTTTGTGCGTTCAAATTGATTGATTCCAGTTTCATTTTTCTTATCGCTGTCTTATCTTTGTTTCTTGTGTTTAGGATTTTCTTCAATTTTTCCATTTTCCTATTTGAAAGTTTGTTAGAAGCTCTGAAGGTCTTCTGGACGAAATCCTGTTTCTCCAGACTTGAGGACCAACTTGTGAAAAATTCTGGGAACGATTGGAAGGATTTTTAATCTAAAAGTTTTATATAATTTTCCTGTATATCTCTTGTGTTTCTCATAAAAGTTTCAGGGGAATTTATCATGTGGATTTGCTGATAGAAAATTCACAAGTTCACTGTCTCCAGAGAGCCTACTGTGTGCGAATTCCAGAATTGCCAAAGCTTCTTGATTGAGCATTTCTAACTCTCTTTCTACTTGTTTGGTGTTATTTTTTTTTTTCATTTTGTTGCTATGAGTTTGAGTTTAATAAAAAAAAATAAAAAATTATTTCTCTTGCTTTTGTGTGTTTTGAATTGTTTCATGTTGATTTGCATTTTAGTTTAGTTTGTTCTTTGTTCTTAATTTTCTTGAGCTTGATTAGTGCATGACCCGAAGAAAACATACCTCTTTTGTTGAATTAGATCCAGAAATTGAAAGAACTATTTCTAGATTGAGAAGATCACAACCTATTCTTGATTCTCATTTGGTTTGTAATTCAACAATGGAAGGTATCTTAGGACATGAGCATGTGCATAATGAGGGCCATGGGAATGGGAATGAGAATTTGCATGATGATGGCCATGTTAATAATGAATTTGAAGGCTTGCATAACCCTAGAGAGGAGAGGAGCATTAGGCAATTAACTCAACCTAATTGGCATGATAATCCTTATGGCTTATATGTTCCTCCTACTAATGTTCAATTTGAAATTAAATCCTCTTTGATTAATGCATTGCCTAAATTTCATGGGTTACCAGGAGAGGATGCCATAGGTTTTTGCATACTTTCCTATTGGTTTGTGATACTATGAAGCCTATGCATGTAAATGTTGATGATGTTCAAGCTAAGGCTTTTGTATTTTCTCTTGAAGGTTTAGCAAAGGAGTGGTATTTCAACTACCCTTCTTATGTGAAAGTGAGCACATGGGCCGAGCTAAGAAGACTCTTCTTAGATAAATTCTTTCCAAATTCCAAGGTCACCAATTTGAGAAAGCAAATCTATGGGGTCCAACAAGGAGAGGATGAGAGTCTCTATGAGTATTGGACTAGATTCCAAGGCCTTTTGGCTAAATGCCCACACCATCAAATTTCTAGTGAGAATTTAGTCCAATATTTCTATGAGGGCTTGATTCCAAGAGACAAAGTTACATTGATGCCGCTAGTGGTGGATGCTTGATTGACCTCACTTCCTTAAAGGCTTGGGAACTAATTGACAAGATGGCTTCAAGTGGTGCTCAATACTCTACAAGGGAAAAGAGAAATGTGAATATGGTAGGTCCTCAGTTCTTAATGATTCATATGTGGACTTGCTAGCTGCCAAGATTGGGAGAATGTTGGCTCCACAAATATCTCAAGTGAGCAATGTAAGTACTTCTCAAGCACTTGTCCCTTATTCTTGTACTTTTTGTGACTCACCTATGCATGTAGAAAGCAATTGTCCTATTAAGTTTGAACAAGTAAATGCTATCTACAATGGAAAACAATCCTATGGTGGGAGGCAAGGGCAAGGAGCTTATTCTAATACTTACAACCCTTCATGGAGAGACCATCCTAATTTCTCCTATTCAAATCCAAATGTGGCTTTACAAGACAATCAACAAAGAGGATCCTATCAAAACACCTTTGGCCGTGACCCTCCACCTCATTTGTCTCAAGGTAGCTCTTCTCAAAGCTACAATCCAAGTGGTAATTCTCTTACACCTTCTTCTAATTCTTATAGTGATAGGAGGCTTGTTCCAATTGAGAGTTCTTCTAATTCGAACTCTTCTAATGATGTGAATGTGTTACGTAAGCAGTTGATTGAAATGAACTCTTTGTATAAAAACATGTATGATGGCTTAGGGAACAAGGTAGAGAGTATGGGTAACAAGTGTGAGAACATGAACTCTAAAATTGATGCCCTTACTTCTCAAATGAATATGCTTGCTAACCAATTAAGTGCAGCCAATGCTCAAGCCTCTACATTACCATCCAACACCGTTGCTAATCCTAAAGCTAATCTTAATGCTATCACATTGAGGAGTGGCAAGGAGTTGGGAGAAAGAGTACAAGAAGACAAAAGACAAGGGAAGGCCGAGAAGCCCTCTTTAAATTCTTCAATTGATGTTAATGTTTCTAGTTCTTCTTTTGCTCCTAATGATGCATCTTTTTGTAGAGATGATGAGGATGAAAACATTGAGGAGATCATATGTGAGCAACCACCATCTAAGGTGAAAAAGGGACTATGGCCGAGTTGTTTAGTAAGGAAAAAGAGGGAGAGGCCGAGCAAAGTGAAACAAGAAAGGAGAGTTCAAGGAAGGAAGAAGGAAGCAAAGTCAAGAGATTATGAAGAAGCTTCCTTTTCCACAAGCACAAGTGGTCCCTAAGCAAGTAAAGGGACAATTTGATCAAGAGGTATATGATTTTTCTTCCACAAGATTCATGTTAATGTACCCTTGATGGATGTAGTTAAGAACTTTCCTAAGTATGCCAAATTTTTGAAAGATTGTTGTACAAATAAAAGAAAATTTAGGCCTAATGCAAGGGTACAATTACCCTCATCTGTGAGTGCTATCATGAAGCCTCAACTCCCTATAAATGTGAGGACCCGGTTCCTTCACAATTCCATGCAATTGGCAACACACACACAACATTTTCTCATGCATTGATAGACTTAGGTGCAGCCATTAATGTTATGCTCTTTCAATTTATCATGCCTTGAGTCTTGATTGCATGCATAAGACACCTATGATATGCCAATTAGCGGATAGAAGTGTTAGAAGACCACATGGAGTAGTAGAAGACTTGTTGGTTTGTGTTAAAGGTCTATTATTTTTCTGTGGATTTCTATGTGCTTGATATGTCAAAAGAAGGGAGTGGGGATGATATTTTGATTTTAGGAAGGCCATTTATGAGGACTGCCCGTACATTGATTGACATGGAAAAGGTAGTTTGATTTTGAAATGTGGAGAGGATCATGTTATTTTTAATATATATGAAGCAATGAAACATCCTTTTGAGGATTATTTCTTGTTAGGTGTAAGTTCCCATTGAGTTATTGCTTCATGATGCTTGTGAGTCTCACATGCTTGATCTCTTTCTCACATGTTGGTGATGATTTGTCTCTTGTTACTACTACATGTATTGATGGATGTAGTGTCCTATTTGTTTAGAGAGATAGAGATTGATGCATGCTGATGATGCAACTACTTCTTCTCATGATTTGTTTAAAATATCTCCTATGCTTGATCTTGAAATGCTTGAGAGGGTATATCTTCTTTGTGTTGGTAGTACTAAAGCCATTAGGCCGAATCTATGAGTTTTTCTCTCTCCCTCGAGCTTGATGTTCGTAGGATTCCCAAGCTATTGGGAAAAGGAAAAATTCTACACATGTCACATGTCAAGGCCGTGGGCTCAAGTCCAAGCACTTGAGGACAAGTTGCAAGAAAAGGGGAGGCTGTAAAGAAAGAAAGAGGAGAAATCAAAAACAGTGAGAAGCCTAAAGACAAGATAGTA